ACTTTCAAATACATAGGCAAAAAATTGCAAACATTTCTAAGTAGAAATTTTCTAAATTCTGTAATAAATGTAATAAATGAAAATTATTTACAAACAAATAATGTCCTTAAAAATAGTTTGTTTCATTCAAATAGCATACGCATGCTTCCTAAAATTTGTTTTACGTTATTATTTTCACTAGCAAAACTTAGGCTCACAAATTGTAAGAGTTACATATATTCTGAATTAGCAGATAACATAAAAGTAATTATAATGGTGTTGCTACCACTCCTGAATGGAAATATGTTGAATAAAACAACAAATTAACATTCCTTTCCAAAAATGGAGAAAGTTGCTCAACCCTACTGTTGCTTTATTTCACTGAGCTGTACCTCCTATTTCAGTACCTCACCAGTCCTAGCACTATTACTCTGCACACTTTTTACTTAAACAATTCAGAGAAAGCATGTTCCAATTCTGTTCACGGGTGTCATATTCACCTGGGTTTGTCATTTGCTCAGCTTGCATCTGGTACTGCACCAGTTACAAAATAGGTCACTAGTTACTACTTCTGCCCTCAAGAAGATAACAGTCCAGTTGCAGAAATAAGATGCAAACAGACATAAAATAATCAGAAAACAATTCAAGTCAACATTCAGTATTTAAGTGTCAAATTTTGTGGTACAGCAGTTATATGCTGTAAAAGTTGAGAAGTAGTCAGGGAAGTCCTCATTAAAAGAAGGCACTTGGACCGGTCGTGGTGGCTCACACCTCTGGGAGGCTGAGGCAGAAGGTTGATTGAGGCCAGAAGTTTGAGACCAGCCTAAGCAAGAGTGAGACCACATCTCTACAAAAAACAGAAAAAAATTAGCCTGGCATAGTGGTGCGCACCTGTAGTCCCAGCTACTGGGGAGGCTGAGACAGAAGAATCGCTTGAGCCCAGGAGTTTGAGGTTGCAGTGAGCTCTGATGATGCCCTTGCACTCTAGCCGGGGCGACAGAGTGAGACTCTGTCTCAAAACAAAACAAACAAAAAAACCAAACCAAAACAATAAAAAAAAGAAGGCACTTGATACGAGCTCAGAAGTTTAGGAAAGATTTGAGCTATTAGAAAGAAGGGGAAGGCACCCTGCCTGGGAAGACGTCCTACCTGAGATTTTCTCCATCTCTTCCAATAGCTTTTCCAAGTCCTTGTTCAGGTCCGACAGCATTTTCAGCACGTTGTCATAGTTTCTTTCCCCAGGGTCAGAATCAGCCATCTAGGTGGTGCACAGAAAGAAGCTGCCATGAGACAGACCCACGTTTTAATTCCAGCTCCACTGCTCACATCTGGGTGATTCCTCCAAAGAATTCTTTTGCCATCTCTTAGATTCTGACTCCACTTACCCCACAGGGCTGTTGTAAAGGTTAAATGAGAATGTGTATGAAGGACCCAATATAACATTTGACACATTTTAGTCATCCTTCCCCTTTCTTCATTCCTTGTTATACAAAACTTTTTTTTTGAGACAGAGTCTCACTCTGTTGCCTAGGCTAGAGTGCCGTGGTGTCAGCCTAGCTCACAGCAACCTCAAACTCCTGGGCTCAAGCAATCCTCCTGCCTCAGCCTTCCAAGTAGCTGGGACTACAGGCATGCGCCACCATGCCTGGCTAACTTTTTTCGATTTTTAGTTGTTTGGCTAATTTCTTT